CGAGAGGCAGGGACAGGCCGAGCCGGGGCCGCAGTGTGCTTCCCGCGCTGCTGCATGCACACAGTGCAGTGTGCATGCACACAGTGCAGTGCAGCTGCGGGCACCTGCATGTTCTGGGTGCTGCGCATGGCTTGTGGAAGCGCCTTTACTCAGTCTCTTCTCACATGCTCCTGTGTTCACAAGGAGCTGATGGGTGCAGCTCTGCTTCGTTGGCATTCTCTGAGCCCACCTGCTTTGCTCCTGCTGCTGCAGACAGGACAGGGGCTGCACACACAGCACTGCTGCTCTGCCAGAGGTGACTCAGSCCCAGACATCTGCTCCTCTCCCTCTGGCTGTTCCTGTGCCAGCGCCCTCAGGACCATTTCTCAGAGATGTCCGTAAGAAGAAGTGGTTGGGGGAGGGCTGCTTTCAGAACATGCATTGCAGTAAGGCACATGGTGATTTCCTCTCTACATGGGGATCGAGTGATACTGGCAGAGCAAAGATTGCCCTCACAGAGAGAGATTTCTCCGCTCCACAAACTCAGGAAAATGTGAGCCCTCCTAGCTGGAGAATAAATACAAGCACTTTGGTCCCATAAAGACACACTTAGGAGAGTAGTAGATGAATTTCATGCAGGAGGCTATTTTTGAAAAGAACCCTTTTTCTCCAGAAGGTACCAATGATCATGGCCAGTGCCCTTTGGCAAAGGCCACAGGCAGTCAAGCTGCTGGTTGCTGGGTGAAGAGGCAGGACACAGGACCAATCTCCAGCAGCAGAAGCCGGCTAGTGACCTGCATGTCCATGAGCTAGCATCCTAGCCYGGTAGTCAGGGGTGCACTGAACCTCTGCTCAGGCACCTCAGCAAGGACATCCACATGGGCCCATTAGGAGGCATCTGCTTTCGAAGCTCCCTGCTCACCACAGAGCTGCAGCCATCCACACAGCAAGTACGCAGAGAGGTACAGCCCACTCCGTATACCTAGCAAACCCCTGAGCCCTGGCCCACAGTAACTACAAGTCACAGCCACACAGGAAGGAGRATCAACCCTCCCAACTGCTGAGCAGCCCACATGGACAACATCCCTTCTTGGGACTTGTCTCTCATACATCCAGCACAAGCACAAATTGTGRGCATGGACYTGGACAAGAAAACCACGTGGGGCTTAAATGACTAGGAAGAGGTTCTGGMAGCAGAGTTGGAGTGTGCTTCAGGGGGGCACTTTCAKGTCCTTTGGCACGCAGAGGCCAGCCCGCTGCAAAGGGCCCAAGGGCAGCAGCTCTTTGGTGGGAGAAAGAGAAGGCCCCAGAGTGCACGAAAAGCAGGTCGTCCCTGGGTGGGCTCGAACCACCAGCCTCCCGGTTAACAGCCGAGCGTGCTCGCCCATTGCGCCACAGAGACGGCAGCAGTGGTGCGTGCGGGGCCATGCCAGCCGCGGGAGCTGAGGGACTGGCAGTGCCCGTCATGGGGGGCCCTGCCCGAGAGGCAGGGACAGGCCGAGCCGGGGCCGCAGTGTGCTTCCCGCGCTGCTGCATGCACAC